GTGTAATTTCTTTTATGTGTAAATATATCACTTAAAAATAATAAAAATAATAATACTTTTATTGTTTAATAATATATTTATCTCTTACAAATTTTCATAGTTTCTCATCGGCCGCTTGTCGGCAACAAGCTTGTAGCGAACGAGATGAGCATTGAAAGTGAGCAAAACGAATATATGAATGCAAGTAAGACAATATATAGGAATGAGACAATCACAGAAGCAAGCAAGAGGAAAATAGCAACATTCAAAGAAGACTCGAAGATCGAGCCTTTGCCGTCCTTTTTCTTACTTGCTCTTATTATTGTCTCGCTCGCTTCTGATAATAAGACAATAATAAGAGTGAGCGAGACAATCACAGGAGTGAGTGAAAGAGGAATAGCAGCATTCATAAAAGCTCGATCTTGATCCTCGAATCTTCTTTGCACGTTGCTATTCTCCTCTCGCTCACTCTTATCATTGCCTCGCTCACTCTTATCATTATCTCAGGAGCGAGCGAGACAATAACAGGCAAGCCTCTCTCTTTCATTCGTCTCATGATGAATTAGCCTCACTTCCTTCCGACATGTTTTTCTATCGGCAAACAAAGGCATTCCCCTTCCATTTATATATGTTCTAAAATGCGTTCTACGCCGCCATTTTTTATAAGACACTTTCTAGCTGGTACAGTAGCGACAACTAGATCCGATTTAGAGCCGGCGGAACTACATGGCCAGATTAATTCCTCGGTGCTACGATAAAACAACCGATTGGTACACGTGTGTGCTAGCTAGATCCATAACTGTGGATCAAAATATTATTTAAGTAATTTTTTAATTTATAAATTCAGTTGGATACATTAGTGCGTACTGATGCACATTAAAAACTATTATATATAATAATTTATATAAGCATAATTTATATATAAACATAAATAAAACGATAAGATAATTAATAATACTAATATACAAGTCTTATGAAAATAAACATAACAATAAATACGCTTTGCTTAACACTATTTTCGCTCGAAGAACAAAATTCTTCGCCCTCATTTATTCACCAAACACTTCGGAGCAGAAATAGTGTCTAACGGAGTGCATTTATTGAATATAAATATAAAAACTTTTATAAAATTTTTATATTTCTTATATTTTTTAACGTAATTTTACTTGATAAGATTTTTAAAAATGAAATGACATAAAAAACGCGACATTATTCGGATAAATTTTAATTCGATATAAATTTAAAAATTAGATAAAATATTTTTTTCTTGATCTAAGTAAAAATTATCCGAATTATATCGTATTTTTGATGTCATTTTAATTAAAAATCTCCCATTAAAATCATTTTCAAAAAATTACTTTCTAAAATAAAACAAATGTTTTAGTTTTTATTATATATGGTTTATGAATATTATAAATAAATTATTATAAATAAGTAAAGGTTTCTGATGTCATCGAAAACGAGAACGAGAACAAGTAAAGAGCAAGCGAAATGATATCGTCAAAGAGTTTCAAAGTCTCTTACATGCAAAGGACTTATTCCTTTATTATATGTATAGTATTTCACGAGTAGACATATATGTGTCATATTACCATAGAAAATAAAACTTTTATATTTTGCATTTTATCTGTTTGAAAATAATTTTAATGGATTAATGATTTTTTGCGATTAAAATGATACCAAACACGACATAAACCGGATAATTTTTAGTTAAATATGTAATCAAAATTTTTATTATTAGTTTAATTAAAAGTTATCCGATTTATGTTGTGTTTAATGTCATTTTAATCGCACAAAAATCCATTAAAATTAATCGCAAGAATCTCATTAATCCATTAAAAATATTCTCAAACCGATAAAATACAAGTAAGAATCTTTCTTAAAGTAAGAATCGAAGTGACAGAAATCTAAATTATAAATTATCGTTTTGTTGCGATTCTTACGAACAATAACAATTTTTCTATCGATACTTAAAGTAAAGATATTTTGTCTCATGCTTTATATCGTACGATTTTTTGATTATTTAAATATAATTTGGATTGAGAACGCACAATTAAACAATTGAATTACAGAATCGAGTAATTAAAATAAGCTTTGTGATATATTAATCTATTAAATAATTGATCTATAATTTAAAATATTTGTATAATTTAATATTCCGCTTGTATACATATACGTCATAGTACGCAAAATATTTTCAGCTGCGAATTATCAATAATATGGAATTAGGCCTTGGTGGCATAAATAAACAGCGCGCTATTGTTTACGTGTTATGACTTACGGCTTTATCATTCGCACGGCGACACTCGAACAGTAATATAGTACTTAGTGCGAGACGCTTTAAATTCCTTTTCTAAACGCGATTGCGATAAGTATCGGGAAATAATTTGATATAATTAATAATTAATTGTCTCTCTTTCTTTTATAGTATAGGCAACACAATTATTTAAAAATATTTAAAATTAAATATATTTCGTCCTATATTTTTTCATTCGATTTTTCGACGATCTAAATATGATTCGGATTGAGAACGCGTAATAAAATAATCTAATCGCAGATCCGAGTAATTAACATAAGCTTCGTGATATATTAATCGTTTATTAAATAATCGATCTATAATTTAAAATATTTGTATAATATAATATTCCGCTTGTGTACGTCATATATACGGAAAATATTTCGGCAGCAAATTGTTAATAACATAGTATTCGGCCTTGGCGGCGTAAACATTAGCGCGCTATTGTTACGACTTACGGCCTTATCATTCACACGGCGATACTCGAACAGTAATGTAGTAGTGCGAGATGCTCCGTCAAATTCCTTTTCTAAACGCGATCGCGACAAGTATCGGAAATTAATTTGATATAATTAATAATTAATTCTCTCTCTTTCTTTTACTCTTTAGACAACAATTATTTAAAAAATAAGATTAAAAAATTGAAACTTAAAATTTAAATATATTTCGTCCGATATTTTTTCGTGCAACTTTTCGATCGACGATCTAAATATGATTCGGATTGAAAACGCGTAATGAAATAGTTAAATCACAGATCCGAATAATTAACATAACGATATGCTCCGTAATATATTAATCGTCTATTAAATAGATCTATAATTTAAAATACTTGTATAATTTAATATTCTGCTTGTATATATGTCATAGTACGGAAAATATTTTGGCAGCAAATTATCGATAACATTATATTTGGCTTTGGCGGCGTAAACATTAGCGCGCTATTGTTAACGCGTTTTACGGTATGGCCTTATTATTCGCACGACAATACTCAAACAGTAAGATAGACACTCCGTCAAATTCGAAACGCGATCGCGACAAGTATCGGGAAATAATTTGATATGATAAATCATTAATTATCTTTTATATACATTAAATAATACGTAACTATACCGCGACAATAGATCTTGAAGCGCTTATCATGTGACGTGTTCAATTTATCAACTAATTATAAGAATCGAAGTGATAGTAATCAAAATTTGATGCATTGATCCATTGACTTTGATATTATATAATTTTATATATATTTCTTATAATTTATTTTTTAATTAAAAAAGCAAATTCATTATTTGACACTTGTTTTTTAAAAGTATATCTATATCGCATCTGATTTTATCGAGGAAAAAGAAGGATGCAATAATCTGTCAATTACAAAGTACATTCAGAATCGAAGTGATAGAAATCAAAATTATAAATTACTATTTTATTGCAATCTTTATGAGCAATAATTAATTTTCTATCAGTATTTAAAGTTAAAAATATTTCGTCCAATATTTTATCATTCGACTTTTCAACAATCAAAATATGATTCGTATTAAGAACACGCAGTAAAACAATCGAATCGCAAAATCGAATAGTTAGCGAAAGTATAACGAAAGACTCCGTGATACATTACTCGTTTAATAAATAATTTATTTATAATTTAAAATACTTGTATAATTTAATATTTTGCGTATATATATGTTATAGTACA